TTTTGAGAGGTTTTTGCTATAGGGCACATACGCTCACCAGAAAGACAGAGAGACAGAGACAGAAAGCGAGACATCACCCCCAGGGGAGATGGTCATGCCACAATCCCTTCTCCTCCATTCTCCTCTTGGGATCTTGTGCACGCACACACACGCACCCAGAGTGAGTTTAAGCCACCGGGTCCGGGACTCAAACTGTGGTCGACTACATGGGAGTCCAGTGACATAGCCATTACACTAACTGCTGGTCCCCTCATTCATTTTTGAAACTTCTACATTTTTTGTAGCAAAACGAATGCATATTTTAAAATTTTACCACATTTTTGACTCTCTGGCCTATAGTCTCTGCATTTATAAAACTAATAGCTTGATTTAATCGATCCCTTACGATCACATCTTCCGACGGTCTATGAATCATGACCAGTAGAAAGGTCACCCAAATGAGCAAAATACGTTAGTAAGGAAAACTATACATTGGTCCCAGTTCTATCACAAAAATAATGATGAGACTTTGCATAACTTTTCATGGACTCCGCTTCCTTATCAATAAAATGAAGGAATTGGATTAAACAGTGACCAAGGTCTTTTTGAGTTCAAATATTTCAATACTGCTCTGCAAAAAGAGGGCTTGCCTTTTGCTTTGTTTTTCCTTGTCCTTTTGCACTAGTTTTTAAAATGACGCATGCATCACGACACTTGTAAAAGGATCCGCTGCCCTTTTCCCTGGTCCTTCCCTTCTGGGGATGCTTCCTGCCATTCTTACCATCGGGGAATCCATCCCAGATTTCTAGCCGGTCATAGCGACAAAGCATCCCCCCTGGAGGATTTGTGTCAGGCTCCAGGTCGAAGCTTTCAAATTCCAGGATAATCTCTGACATCTTTGGCGCAAAGATAATATAAGTGCATTCAAGGCTGTTGGGGTATTTTTCAGGGAACCCGGGGGACTTGATCACTCCACTGGATGTGGTGTAGTTCTGGGAACATTCGGGACCTGTGAGTGAGAGAGAAAATAGAGGAAAGTGAAAATCTCACCAAGAAAGAACCTGGGCCCAGACAGGATATCTTTCTAATAAAAAGCCACCCTTACAACCACTGTCTTAATCATGTATTACTCAGCCTTTTCATATTAGTGACAGGTACAGAAAGTCAAGTTCAGATTTATTGCGTTCACCTTAGTTTTCCATTTGTGTGAAGCAATTTAAAGACTGCTGGTGCTACAAGGGAAAAAATGACAAACATAAAATCATGTGGGAACAATGAATGAGTAAGCTGCAGAAATCTTGACAGAACCCTAGAGAAATAATTATAGCCCCTTCAAGCTTAAATCTTTAAATCTTGAGGCTGACAGCTCTTTATTGGTGAAATAGAACATTTACAAAGGCGAGGGAGGGAATTCAGTGGAGGGAGTTTGGGTTTCAGATTCCTACACCAGTGACTCAGTAACTGCCAGATGTGACCTATGCCTCTTTGACAAACTAAATGTGAAAGGTAATTCGTACATGTACCCAGGGTGAGTGACTCATTCTGAGTGGTGTTGACACAGGTGTGCCGGTAAAGTGTGGCTGTTAGTGAGGGCACGATAAACCGTGATTACAGGCCATGAGGCTGGAAGTCACCTGATATCACTGTTGACACCCTAACCTTCCCCAAAGTATCAGATGCAGCACAGCAGGCCATTCGCAAATTGCTGGTTAATAGGTGTGTGTGTTTGTGTGTGTGATGTATATATTAATAACGTGTCGTTTTAATGACTGCTCAGTGTTATCAAGACTTCACGAATGATGGTGACTCGTGCTTAAATTGGTGAAGGGCATTCATGCATAGATCGCAGGTTAATCTGTGACTCTACGAATGGCCACGGTGTCAGTCCGTGGACCCCAGCACTGCAGAGAGGGCATTCACGACCTCACTAGACTGTTCACCTCAGCCGACACGGACACATTGCTCCGTCCCGCTTTCTCATCAGCACTGCCATGCCACACTAAGGCTCTCTACGGATCAGAGATGATTTGGCCCTTCGGAACCTCAGGATCCGATCTAGGGGTGCTCAATTCAACAGTTCTTTTCCTGCACCACTGTCTCTTGGACCTGCAGGCAGAGGTGATGGGCCCCCTCAGCGGGCATCAAGGATTCCATCCTAAATAAGGTGCTTTGTTGAGACTGCTCGTGACGGAATATTCTCCCAAAGCACTAAAGCACTACGGTAAATTACTAGACGTCAGTACACATGAAACTTAACTGGCAGGTCTCTATCCGGGTGGCTCAGGTAGGATGGCTGACGCTCCGTCTCTGCATCTAGAAGCCTATGGAAGCCGGCCGACTGTTTCCTCCCCGTGCTCATGACACAGGGGTGTACTTTTTACACGGGTGCGGCCCACCTGGCCCTCAGTGTTCTGACTGTTTAAAGAGCCCCAAACCTCCTCTGATGCAGTTCACCTTTCACCATGATGACCTCGAATGCTCTTCTACTTGATTCTGGTTAAAACGTTATCAGCATGTGGCATTTTGCCAGATCAATTCCAGGTAAAGCGATTAGGAAACGGGCTGTGCGGTGTATAATCCATTTCTGAATTACTCTGGTGGTTTCTGGAATGATACTGAGTATGCCGATTTGAGGCATTAATTTACAGAGATATTGGGAACTTTTTTGAATTTTATTTCCAAGACGTAGGAATAATGAATCCAGATACCTCCAATCTATGGGGGAAAAACATTTCTGTTGGATCTTTGCAAGGAAAAGAAAACAGCAAGGTTTAATTCAAATACCAATATTTTCTCCTTAAAAAAAAAATGGTTGGGACCAGCAGTTAGCATAATGGCTATGTCGCTGGACTCCCACGTAGTCGACCGCGGTTTGCGTCCCGACGCGGTGGCTTAAAACTCAAGCTGGGCGCGTGTGCGTGCGTGCCCAAGATCCCGAGAGGAGAATGGAGGAGAAGGGATTGCGGCGTGACCATCCCCCCTGGGGGGTGATTTCTCGCTTTCTATCTCTCTGTCTCTCTCTGTTTGTCTGGCAAGCACACGTGCCCTATAGAAAAAAAAAAGAAACAAAACCTTTCCAAAAAAAAAAAATCTGAGAGAAAAAAAATTACAAGAACTGAGAGAATACTCTCGAAAACCAAATAAATTTAAAAAAAAATTAATTTGCTATAGGGCACATGCATTTGCTGGAAAGAAAGAGAGGGAAAGACAGAGGAGGGAAGTTGGGAAAGGAACCCCCTGGGGAGCAGATGGCCATGCCAAAATCTCTTCTCCATTCCCCTCTTGGGATTCTGGGCACGCTCTCACACACTCCGGGCATGTTTTTTAAGCTGGTCGAGGTCCAGGACTTGAACCATGCAGTCGGCCCTGTGGGATTCAGCGGCCTTATCCCCACACTACCAGTTGGTCTCTGAATACATTTCAAATACATTTCAATGTTTTCGCTGTGACCTTGTCATGTCACACATTTTTGGGAGCGATGCTTGTTTTCTAGTGTATTTTGAGAAAGTGGGGCCATTACGTGGAGTAATGAAAGACGAGATAGAGCAACAGATCTGAACTCCAGACCTGCCTTGACCATGAGCCTGCGCTGTGTCCTTGGGTAGCTTATGAACCTTTCTGGTTCTCAAATCCCACGCATAGCAAATGGAAGTTGAGCTTTGTGATTTGAAAAAGAAATCCTCCTAACTTAAAAATTTTGCATTTCCCACTTTCTTCATTACACAGCAAACTTTGCTTTAATATGTATTTTTTTTACTTGCTGTACTCTAAGTTTACCGCAGCTGAACAAGCGCTCCCTTCCGAAAGGACAATGGCAAGAGAGGATCAAAGGGTTCCACGTGCATGCAGCACAAGAGATAGCAGGTGGGAGGGTAGAAGCCCGGGGTGTCCAGAGGTGGGGGAACCCTGCAGCGAGTGGTGCTCACCCCAGCAGGCAGCCAGAAAACGCCAAGTTTCAGACATTCTTTATAAGGTAGGACCCTGCATAACCCTAAGAATGGCACGTTTGGTTAATGACAAAAGGGATGGATGGGAGCATAGTTAAGAGGCTTTTTGGTATTTCTATTGAACACACAGACGCTTAATTACAGCTCATACATCAAGTGCCCAATTCTACTCTCACCTTCAGTGGCACTGTCCCCTCCCCCGCACAGAGACCCCGGGAGAATGGAGGCAGCTCTTTCCACATCTGGACCTAGGTGACCCTGGCCAAAGGGGACAGGGCAAGGCAATTGGTGGGAAGGCTTGGGTTTCCAGGAGAAAGTTCTTTAGGTAAAAGGGAATAATTGTAGGACTACTGACCTAAGGTTTTAACCTCTGGGAAGAGACTTGGAGAAGGGAAAGCAGGGCTCCTGGGGAGAGAACCCAGGAGGTCAGGGATGGCTCCAGAGGAATGAGGGAGGTGAGAGAGGTGGGGACTGGCCCTACTCACCTCAGGTGGAGAAGGACCTCCAGGAAAGCAGCCCCAGGGACTCAGGAATAGCCCGAATGTTTCTTGGAACTGAGACCTATTGCCCCCAAATCTCAAGGTCTGCAGGTGAAAGATTAATTTCCTGGTTGCATTAAACTGTAATTAGGATAATTCATGTTTTGAGGAGGCTTGAAATTGCTTATACCCTGAAGAAGTGCTGTATTTTCAAAAGAATGGATTAATGGATTTTAGAATATTAAATAATTTTTGAGGAAGAAACCTTCATGGTGTGTGTGCGTGTGCATAAATGTTCTGTATCAGGGATTCTTATGGGGTAAAGGGGAAGGAAAGACGTGCTCTTTGCATTCTTCAGGTGGCCCCCGTCTAGCTGGGAATGAAACATGCGGACATGAAAAACCTGAAAATATTAAGAAGAAACATATGGTAAGCGTGTTTGTATGTACACAGTAAGTTTGTATCTGTACTCCATAAATGGATATTGTTTGTGTAAGTGAACACATGTGTTCAGAGATAACATGGATATACAGAAGAAAAAGAGCAGGTTTAGGGATGGGAGGTGTTACAGAGGTGAAACCTGGGCCCACCCACATAGGAAGGTGCTGCTTTCACCTCCAGAGACCTCCTGAGTACACCAGGCACCAGGATGCCCATGATCAGGGCTGGCTGGACTGGGGATGGGTTGTGGCATCAAGACCCTGCTGGGAGTGCTAGCTCCCTGTCTTTCTTGGAAGAAATAAATAAATAAACTTAAAAAAAAATCAGATCAGTGAGGAAGAGCTCCCAGAGCTGGCTAGATTGCTAAGGAGGTAAGGGATCCACTGGAAGAAAGAAAAGACTGTGGATTTTGAAGGCACCACTTCTGTCTATAATCACGTTATAACAGCTTCTGTTTCACTGAACACATCTTCACTGGCTGGCTCTGGAACCCGGGCCGGGTTTCCATTTTGAGTGACGTTTGTAACAAGCCTGTGCTAGGTGCTTCCTGCATTTTCCAGAAGACGGAGTGGCTCTGAGCATGTGCAGAAGAGCCAGAGGCAGAATTACAGTTCAGATCCAGGTCTGCTGGACGGTGAGCAGTCACCACCCTAAAGCAGGAAGTGAGGCCATAGATTCATGGGAGGTGGGTAAGGGAGGGCAGCTGAGGTCCAGCCTTGAGCCAGACACCGAGTATCCACCAATGGAGCCATGGAGACCCCCTGGAACTGTCTACAGCCAGCAGCCGGATGCCTGTGTGAGAAGCTGGTGTGGGACCATGCAATCCGCGGGGAGCCCTAACTTGGGCCTACATGTGGATGGCAGCAGATCTCAAAGGACACTAACTCTTTGAGATCTTTGGATGAAAATTAGACAGAACTGGAAGCCATGTGGGATCCAAAGGGTCAAGAAGAAAAAGGCCAAGAGAGGGTGTCAAATCTCAGGACAGTGCTGGAGGGCAGGGCAGGGAAATTTCGGAACATCTGAGCCGCACAAATGTGGGGAGCTGAGTTCACTTGGAAGGAAGAAAAATGATCCCCAGTGACTTAGTGACAGTCTCTCTCTCTCCTCTTTCCTTTTTCAACCCTCTTTAGAGCTTTGAGAAACACTGAAGATGAAAAACTATTCCTTGTCTTCTGACACTTTTTGTCTTTGGTAGTGCTGCTTGTGAATAAGTGAGTGAATGTAACTGTGTGTGTGTGTACATACACATACGTGTAGAATATAATGATGTAAGTCAACCTCTTCCGCCACAAGCGATGTGTACATACATGGTCTTCTGTGTATACTGACGGCATGCGTGTGCTGTTAGCCATATGAAGGTGTTCTAAGTGTATGCTTAGATACGTTTCTGAAGAAAGTTCACTTCATCTGTCTGTATTTACACAGGAGCAGGGCCAGATAGCTTTGAAGACAATTTTTTAAAATGTATCTATTACCTCCATGAGTGTGAGAGTCAGGGAGAGAGAAAGAGAAAGCCAACATCACCATCCACTCTTGGCCTTCAGCCAGGCCCAATCATGGACAAGCATATGCCCAGTGTGGTGGGAGGAGGCCGCTGAACTTGAACTGGGATCCTCCGCAGTGGGACTGCCTTGCAGAGCAGAGCACCATATCACTACACCTCTTTTCATTATTCTCAGCTGTCACTAACCCAAGAGACTTTAAGTTTTTGAAATTGGTGTAGCAAGATTGTTTTTTTCTATTAAAACATGGCCTCGTGGTTCAAGTCTTGGATCCAGTGGCTTGAAAATCACACCAGGTACACGTGCATGTATGCCCAAAATTCCAGGAGGAGAAGGGATTATGGCGTGGCTATCCCCCCGGGGGGGTGAGTTCTCACTTTTTCTCTGTCTCTCTCCAACAAGCACATGTGTCCTATGGCAAAAACCTAAAAAACAAACTAAAATAATACAGTGCCACAAGTTTTTTTTTTTTTTCTCTCTAATATTCAAGGACAGTACATTCCAATTTGAGCTTCTGTCCTTGGAAAGGTCACATAAACATCCACATAAAGGTGTATATAACAAGAAAGCTGGTTTGACACATGAAAGGAATCTATAGATCGTGGTTCAAAACAGGGGCATACAGATAAAGCTACACTCTGTTTGTTGACTGATCTGGGTGTTTAACCCCTCAAGGTCTGGAGCCAATGAGCTGTCAGATTTTAGTCCATCCCAGTACATGCTCTTGAAACAGAAGAATGAAAATGCTTATAGCAGAGGGGGTAACTGATACTTTATTCTGAAGAGGAATGCCATTTAAATCACCTTTAATTTGTCTCTTCTGATAGTCTCTACCCAACTATCCTCTTACTAATAGAAGCCTCTTGTTCCCCTAGTACCTACCAAACAGTGAGGCTAGTGAACCACTTTGCTTTTCCTGGGACCTACTAGTTTTGAGTTTTGCAGTAAAATAAGGGACACAGAGTAGATCAAACTAAATATCGAAGAAGAAAGTCTTAACAAAGTTTTGTGGAGTGTATTCCCGTCAACACTGGTTAACACATCAGAAAGATGCCATTCTGATTCTTGATATACTTTTCTTTTTTCTATTTTAAAGGTACTTCCTTCACACAGCGTGCAATTTTCCTTTACTTAGAATATTTTCTGACATTTTCGTACTGGGAATGCGCACACACACTTTGTGGATGAAGACAAGCACTACCCACCCTGCCTTTCTTTTCAGCTTGTCTTTCAGGCACTCGCACGGTGTTGTGAGCATGCAGTCACACCTGTCCTCTGGCAAGTCACTCACCTCTCTTGAAAATTTCATAGCGTATGGAAAATCCTGCACCGTGGGTCTCATAGTCGGAGACAAATTTGATAAAAAGAAATGGCCCCGAAGACACCACAGGAGATGGGGCGATCTTCCCACAGAACTTGCCCCATAAACGTCCGTTTTCATTTTCCCCGTCGATGACCTCCACATAGTCATACCTGGCACGGAAACATGGAAGGAAGCATTAGGCCGGTGAGAAATGTCCTTTGAATTTCAGTCATTCCAAAACCAGCACCATCCACAGAGTCTGTGGGGGATAAGAAAGCGTGGTCGGCACTCACCACTGCATTCCACGCAAGGGGAAAATCCAGCACACGAAATCATTAAAATGGACCACATCATGTCTGGGTACATCATCTGGCAACACAGAACTATTAAGAATAATGGTGTCCATTATCCCAGCAGACAATGTCAGTTAGAGTAACCAATTAACAAGAAAAAGAAAAATCTCATGAGCACAATTCTCTATTATTAAATTGTGTTCCTTTGTCTGTGGTGGTGGGGTGTCAATACATAATGCTATGCATTCTTTTCAAACTGTGAAGTTCTTTTATGAATTCAAAATGTCTCCTTGGCTGGAGCTCCCACGAACAATGCTTTGATTTCTGTGAGCGACCCTCTAAACATATGGCCGCAGAATAATAAACAGATTCTTTACTATTTAACGCGATTCCAGCAAACTCCAGACTTCTTAGGAAAAACCCTCTCGGTATCCACGTCCAATGATTAAAACACAGATTATCTTTCCCCGAACTACAGTTGGATCATAAAAACGTCATTTCTCCAAAGGAAAAAGCTTACTTGAAAAGGGAAAGGAACTTGTTTCTATCCACCAGTCTGCTTCTTTTAAGGAATATATTGACAGTAGTTTGAAAAAGAAAGATGAAACATTTGAAAACAAAAAAGTGATGATTTTTTAAAAATTCAGGCTTAGCAAAGACACACTAGGGCACACATGATAAAGGAAGGGGCAATAAGAAAGTGCTTTAAAGAGTACACTGAGCTAATAGATACACTTGGCTTGTTTGGCTCTAATCTGTTTTTGAAAGAAAACCCTCAATGACATCAGCAATACACTAGTGTCTGCAGAAAAGTACGGCTTTTTCTTCATCTGGTGTTAGGTATTTCTTCGTATCCCTTTTTATTTAGCAAGTCATCTAGAAGCCAGAAGATCTTATTTGTCTTCCATTTTTCTTCCAGAACTGACATGAAAACATGACCATCTCTACATGTCAAAGCTTTATTTTATTTCTGTACTTAACTTAGTTCAAAAGTCCTGGGATACATCCATTTCCAAGAACGGCTAAAATATGGCAGTAACGTACACTGTATCTGGCAATTTAAAAGAGATCCAAGTGGGAGTGACCCTCACCGTGACCAATGTCATCCTTGGCAATCCCTTTTCAATCTACCCAGGACACATTACTTATGTGGACATAGTCTCACGAGACAACAGCCACGATGATATCACTCGTTAAAGTGGGCAGCTTAAGGCTCTCTACATTAAAAATGACATGACCTCATCAGTTAAAATTGTGTGCCAGCTTTGTGTATATCAAGAAGAAAATAAAGCTGACATTGACGGAACTAAGCACTAACGTATGTGAATTATCGTCCTCGCTGCATTTCCTCCGATATGGCTGAGGTTTCCAGTAGTAATCACTCGGCCAGCTAAGGTTGCCATCCTTTTGCAAAACTATGGAAATACACAGAGGAATTGTTCATTTCTCAATACTTTGGGAGATGCTTTGCATGTCAAAAGAAGACAAAGCAGGAGGAGGAGGAGGAGGAGAACGAGGAGGAGGAGGAAAGCATTCTGTTCAAAACCCTAACTAGCCTTTACAGTCAACCGGGGGCAGCTGGAAAGAACCTTGTCTCTGTATTCATTAAAGCCTCACAAGTTGGCGTTTATGGAGTAATTCTTTTTTATCTCTACTGCTTCACTGACAAGACAGGTCTGCATGTGTTGCCCACGCTTTCTCATAATTTAGCTGTGATTTTGAACTGTTGCCTGTGCTTGGCCTGGCGACTGTGCATCCCTGCTCTGCAATATAGGCTTTTTACTCGAATCTTGACATGGTCTGAATACTAAGTGGCCACGTCCAGTGCATGCTGCCTTCCAGGCACAATAAGAGAGATGGCAAGGCGCGCCGAAGGGCTAAGGGCACTCGGGGAGGAGACCGTTTTCCCAGGTGTTGGAGAACTCGGCTCATACAGCACTGCCGCACTGCAGCAGGGAGGGGAGCTGGCGTCTGAATCCACACATCCACCAATAGTAAACACTAGGCTCTCTTCTTGGCAACTGTAAAAGCTATTTTTAAAAGGGGGGCGTGGGGTGTGGGATTAGAATCCCTTCCCAGCAAGAGATAAATCATGGCGTAGTTTAGGTGCCAATTTTAGGAAACTGAAGTATTCACGGATACTATAGTTACATGTGTAAGCTGGAAGGCTGCTATCATCCTAGCACTTCCCTTCGGAGTCCCATCCAACGGGGCCCCCAAAGAGTGTCACAAGTAGCAGGTCTTGTACACACGTGGAGGTTGTATTGCGCGCAAGTAGCAAAGGCAGGCACTGCCAAGGAAGTTACGAAAGCAGCTTGCATCTCCCTCTGGGGTTGATACCAGTCCCACCCCATCGGTTTCTCGCTGGCAGACCTGGTGCCAGGAATGCAGCTGATGTGCCCGCATCTGTCCCTGGAGACGCTGTGTGTCACCACGGCAACGCACCCAGCCTGCCTTGGCCTCAGGCCCAGGATACTGAGTTTGCAAATTTCTCTCCCCAGCCGCCGTGCACTGCTCTGTTGCTGCTGCCAGCGTGGCAAACACCGCCTGGTTCCCAGTGTCCAGATCCTAGTCTCGGCACGCAGCAAGGCAGAGGTGGGCGTGAAGGCTCCCCTCTGGCTCTCATTCCCAGCTTCCTTGCTCGGGGAATGGCACCTGCAGAATCTAATTCCTAAGAGCTACAGGAGGGGTCAGACCGTTGACTCCTCCATCTGTTCAGGTCTCTACTCTGGAACAAGACTGCTCCAGGCGATAAGGGCCAGGTCTTGGTCCCAAGGGCACCACCTTCCATGTGGGGGCCTCTTTTTCTTCCTGCTCCCACTGTAGAAACAGGTCCCACTGAAGGAACAGTTCCCCCCAGACCTCACCCTCTCCACCTCTCATTCAGAAATGTAAACTGAATATGGACTTGTGAGATGTTCAGAAGACGACCAACCCCTCCACCCTTTAAGCACCTGCATCCCTTTTCTTCAGCTTTTGTTAAGCTTTCCCACTCTGCACTAGCAATGGCGAAGTGAGTGTTTGTTTCCTGGGACCCACTGCAAAATTCCCACCTCACCCTCCTGCAAGTCCCAGTTTCAGTGTGGGTGTGACACATGGATGGCTCCTGGCGAGTATGTCCCTGGCTTGAGAATCCAAGCTTTTGTTAAGCCGAAGGCCTCTTCGCTCACATACTTCCACGCTCACCCTGCTTAGGGAGATGTGGGTGGTGAAAACACCGTGGCTCATGGTAATAATCGTGTCAGGTTTCCCATAAGGGTGCTAAAAGAATCAAGGTCTCTTTCTAAGAATTCTTGAAAGGGTTACCTAGAGATTATTATCATTTTTTTCTTTTAAAAAGTTTGAATTATGGCTTTAGGAAAATGGCCAAGTAGGGGGAAAAGTGGTAGGAAATGAGAAACGCAGCCAGTCACGGGAGAGAGGCTTCCGAGGCGTGCAGGTCTGTGGTGCCGAGGTGCAGAGTGGGTGAATGGCCCTCTTGATGCGAGCCGGCTTTCTCCTGTGAGTGCCAGTGACCCCTGACTCTCCGTGGCAGAGCCTCGGCAGGGAGAAAGCTGATGCGCGGCCGAGCATTGTCTGGTACAGTGGGCTACTGTACCCAGCCCCTCCGGCTTCTGGACATTCTTGCAGTATTAGGGAAGGGGTTTTAGAGGGGCTGATGTCTTTTTAGTCTCCTTCCAGAAGGGTCTACGCCCCAGGGCATATACACATTAATAATGGAGACATTTGATACCTGACGTCATCAACCAGAATGAGGAATGATGCTGGCCTACATGATTTTCCCCTGCAAAAACGCGTTTCTGTGGCTCTTTAGTTTACTTTATGTAAGCATTCCGAGCTATCCCAGCTGAACCACCCATAAACCGTTGTGCTACTTTCCAAGAAGTGTCTTCCACGGTCCCCAGAAGAGCAGGTTTTCTCCCAACGTGGTAGAAGAGGATTCAGAAATAAAAATATACAATATTGCAACTAGGAAAAGCCAAATCAGCCCACGTCTGCGTTACCGAGTGATTTTACATGAGATTCAGCCCCGAATAGTTCTGGCGTGCACGAAATGCTCTAACGGAGAGGTATGAAATGTCCTGCAGGGTCAGACAGCAGTGCTCTGTAAGGCAGTCCCACATGGGAGGGTTCCTGGTTCAAGTCTAGAGACCTCCCTGAATACACAAGGCAGATACCCGCAGTGATATGGGGCTAGCTGAGGTTGGGGTGGACTGCAGTGTCAAGACCCTGTTTGGGTTATTCTCTCTTACTCTCTCCCTCTCGCTCATAGGAGATATCAATAGGTGTACAAAATTACTTCAAGAAGAAAGAAAAAATGATGACTTTATAATGGTCATAGCTTCGTATTTCATAAAATACTTTCTTAGAAATGGATTCTCAGGAAAGAACCTGAAGTAATGTCGAGTATTTATGTACATTCATATGGTGGAATATTATGCAGTCATTAAAAAACAGGTTCAACCAAAGTCATACAGAAAAAATGCTTATGACATAACAAGTAAAAATATAGTATAGTCTCAATTTATTCACACGCAGAAAGAACTAGAAATACCTGGAAGGAAGAACTAAGCTCTCAACAAGTGGTTTTCGTAGGTTGTGAGATGGTGTTCTTTATTCATTTATGTATTTTTAAAATACTTACAATGGGCACGTGTTCACTCAGAGAGGGCTAAAAGTTATTTTGAAAAGCACTAATTACTTATATATAAAGTAACGAGCCCATATTGTTTTGCCTCTTTAGCCAGAAAACACTATTTTTTATGATGTTTTATATGAGACTCTCTGTGGCTTTTTTTTTTTTAGTAACCAAAACATAAAACGATTGGATTTGATACCCTACTTTTTGCAATGCAGGCGGTGACTTCGCACTGTGC